CAAAATCTCATATAGGGCAAGTTGTGAAAAGACAAGATATTGTTTATGAAGTAAAAAACCTTGTTAAAAATGTAAGCAATACATTTGTTTTACAAAACAAGATGGTGTGTGAAGTTGACGACGAAGAAAAAATTTGCAAACTGCCAAAATTTAAATTATACTCACGTTATAAGTGATGTTGGAACTGCTCAACGCTGCTCTGATGAACTCTTGACATCTAAACAAGTTCTGATTCGGTCGATATAGGATGTTCTGCGGTATTGCAGAGATCTGTTCCTTATACTGTGCCTTAATTCTTCCTTGTGGGGATTTGTCGTACATACCTCTGCGTGCAAACTTTCAGAAATCCCCACAAAAAGATCAGATCAGGAGAATGTGCAAGTCACAAACAGTGTGTGACAATTCTGTCTCCATAAACGGCATGCAAACTCTTTAAGAAACAAGCAGTGTGTAGTTGCGGAGTCCTTTTGAAAATGACTGTAATTAAGCTTTTCATTTTTCAACATTTGGAACGAAGGCTACAGGATACAATGCACATAACATGCACTAATACACAAATACTTTCTGTTTGAGAGTGAACTTCGAGCAAGCCATCACAAACCGACTATTCAACAAGACTGGAAAGTATGCCTTTTGCAGGGTGAGAGAATATACATCCATAATGAGACGTTCAAATCCTCCCGTGTGCAACGGTTCCCACTTCCCAGGGGAGCTCAGACAGCTATGACCGTCTCTAGTATTAAACGTCCCCGTTTTCTAGAGCTCCCATACCTACCCCCACTCCTTTGCCAATATTAGTTGAATTACGAATAGATGATAGCAACGAGCGTTGTAGGCAAAATCTGATTTCCGGAAATGTACGCTTCCGCGTGATAGAAACTATTTTGCTTCGAAAAATGAACAACAAATTTGATATAAAATTCCTTTTGCGAAAGAAACCAAACCCCCCACTCCTCTCGCAACTAGGGAAGCGAGAGCTCAAGAAAACGTGCGCGAATAATAGACTAAACATGGCCATGGCTCAGCGCAAACCGCGTTCTCGGGCGTGTGACGGCCAGTCGGGACCAGCAGAATTGTCCACGATATCGGCACACTAATAAAATGACCACACTGTACCACGAAGTTAAAAGAGTTTTGCAACAAAAATAAATAATCTTTATTATAATAACTGAGTCACAACATTATTTGAGTTACTTTCCATGAATGTGTTAACTTTCTCCCAATCAATTTTCGAACTCTTGCTGGTAGTTTCATTGAAAAATTTAGATTAAATTCAAATACATAGCACTTCATCGTATCTTCCAAGTGAGGTTTTCTACACCATTGTGATTCAGAATTACAATTTTGAAATAAGGTTCTTGTCTGAAGTTTAAAATTATATACTGGGCCTTTATATGTAATTTCAATTATTTCGATGTCAATGGTAACTTTGATCTACTACATAAAATCTAATATTCAAACTGATCTCCTGCAAAATTAGCTTATTTTGAAGTTCGAACATTTTTATTACTTTCTGAGTCTTATACACTAAGCAACACACGTAGTATAGACGAAGTTACGCAATGTAGCGGAAAATTGATTTAGAAATTTCAATGGAAATATACGTTTTGGGGTACTCTGATTCTGAAAAAATCTTTTCACTTCTGTCCGTCTGAGAACAACACTAGCGCCTAAACTATGCTTACGGTTTATTTTCCAAACTGAATACTCCCAGGTCAACCTGGCCTCTTTCAAAGCTCTGCGATTTCGAATAACACTCTTTTAATGGGGGAGGGGGACTTTAAATGAAGCTCTTGGGACATTTCCAAAAATTTCTCACGGATGGATGCAATTTTTTTATTATTATTATTTCTTGTACGAATAGAGTTAAGTACACAAAAAGGTGGCATAGGTCCGGTTTTCACCGTCAACTCGAGAATTTTCGAAAATTGTAAAAGTATTTTTTTTTTTCGGCGTCTCCCTACGACAAAATCGAAGGTAGGGATTTTTCTTTCATATGAAATAAGCTTCATAATTCGTTTTCATTAAGATCATGTAGTATATAGTTCCCGCGCCATATTGAGTAAAATATGCAATATTACAAAATACCAAAAACAATTTCTCAAAAAGGGCTCTAATTTTTTTGTTTGAACTTTTGGTGGGGTTAGTGCTAAATATTCTGTATAAAATGACAAAGGCGATTTTGCTCTATTCTTTTTTTTTTTTATCTTTCAAAAACTGCAAATTTTTTTACATCACTCTCACGTCGTTAATATTAACATTATCCGTAACTCTTATACATTATTGTATTTGTGAGACGCGTGCATCAAATGAACTCTAACTTTCTCGAAAACCCGAAAGTTTAGTAAAAATGAGCTAGATGACATAAAACTCACT